CACTGCCCTTTCGCCCCTGGCCTCCAGGCATAGGTTTCAGCCTTCACTCCTGCAAGTGTCCTGCGCTGTCTGGGCCAGGTGTCTAGAATTACAGGTGCTCATACCTGGCATGGCATCTACACTAGCAGCAGGAGGCTGAAAAAAAGTCTGATAGCTTCATTTGCCCTACACAGATCTAGAAAAAGTATGTTTAACTCAAACCCCCACCTCAGCAATGATGGTGGATTCCTCAGTTTCCTTGAAGGTTGTCATTTTTTTCCTTTAAATAATTCAGGCTATATTCTTAAGTGCATAAAAGTTTAGAACTGCTGTGTCTTACTAATAAATTAACCTTTTATTGTATAAAATAACCCTCTATCACTAGTAATGATTTTAGCTTTGATATATTGGCACCTACTAACTTAGGCATTCTACACTTCTTTTGGTTAATATTTACTTGGTATATCTTTTTCCATTCTTTTAGTTTGATTTTTTTCTGGGTCATTAGATTTGTAGCTCAATCTTTTTTATTTTATCCAGTTTGACAGCCTTTGTATTTTAACTAGGTTAGTCTATTTACAATTATTTAATGAGTCATATATTTGGATTGGTTTCCACCTTCTTATTTTGCCCTATCTGCCTTGTTTTTATTCTTATGTTTCTTTTTTTCTTTTCTCACATTCTTTTATATTGTTTGATTTTTTTTCTCCTCTGTTAGTGTGGAATTTATACATTCTGTCTCTCTTCTTTTCACATTTAACCTAAGAATTTTAAAATGAACATCTAACTTGACAAATATCACCATTTATAAAAATATTTATTATCCTCTCAATAAATGAAAGAACTCAGACCACTTTAATTTGATTGCCTCCTCCCTACAACATGTCTTTAGTGTCCAGTATTTCGTTCTGTTTTTTTCTTAACTCCACAAGTTAAAATTACTGTGTTTAACATGAGTTGCAGGAAAAATGGAGTTAAATTAGGCTTTTTCCTGCCTTCTTGTCGCTGGCCTCTACAGCCAGCACCTGTAGTCTTACTTTCTGCCTAGGTTTCGTTGCCAACACGTGATATTGTGGTGGTGGTAAAAAAAAAAGTGCTTGGGAGCACAAGCACGAGGCACAACGCATGGACAACCAGGGCCAAGAGGCATGAGCACAGGGCTGTGTGCCTATAATTGTGGACACTTGTGCAAAGAAGCCAGCAACCACGAGGCATGCATACCTAGAAGTGCGAACACCTGGGAGAGATCATTACAAGACAGCCAGGCTAGAGGAGACAAAACACGAGAGGGAGGAGGAGAGAGAAAACCCAGAGAGAAGAGAAAATGTGGAGATCCCCAGAGCTGGGGGCTTGGTTGATGCCAGTCTCCTAGCCCCCCTGCCTTGCCTGCATGCCAGACTCCCTATGGGGTGTGCCTGGTGTACCTGGTTTCCTGCTTCAGCATTAATGGTGTGTAAAATCTTTGAGGGCTCCAATCTGCCCAAACAGTGAACCAGCTCGCTTTGGGCCTGCTTGCCACAACAGTCAATGACAAAAATTGTATGTTCATAAATGTCCACCATTTCTTTTTGTATGGCCCACCTTCCTTTTGAGAGTATTTTTCCTTCTTCCTGAAGCATGTTGTAAGGATTGATATGCTCCCACAGACTGGGTGACTTAACAGAAAATTAATTTCTCACAATTCAAGAGTCTAGAAGTCAAAAATCAAGCTTTTGGCAAGGTTGGTTTCTTCTGTGGCCTCTCTTCTTGCCTTGAAAGTGGTGGTCTTCTCCCTGTGTTGTCACATGTTTTGTTTGTGCATTTCTATGTCCAAATAGCCTTTTCCTATAAGGACACTAGTCATAGTGGTCAGAACCAACCCTAATGACCTAATTTTAACTTAATTACTTCTTTAAAACCCTATCTCCAAATTGTCATTGTAATATTATAACTTATAAGAAATATATATTAGATACAAGGTGCAAGGACAGGACTGGCACAGTGCAGGTTTTCTGATCCCATGCAGACCGGGTAAAGGAGGAGTCAGAGTCCTCAGTGGTTTTGCAGGTCTTTTATTGGGGTTCACCAGGCATATGGCAGGCAGGGGTGCTGGCTGGGAGGCTGGCAGGGCTCCCAGCCCCCAGCAAGTCTTCACTCTATCTGGGCTCTCTAGCGTTCGTTCTGCTGCTTCTCGGCTTCTCTTTCGGCTGCTGCTTCGGCTTCTACTGCTGCTACTGCTGCTGCTGATAGCATCCCCGTGACGCCGCCCTTAAAAAGCACAGTCTTAACTCAGCTGAATCCCATCTACCTATGCCCACACCCTATTCCAGGTGCCCGCCATCAGGCATGCATTCAGGACAAGGATCCATCATCTATCCTGATGGCGGAAGGGCAGAAAAGCCTGATATTTTCTTTACCCTACACAAGGTCATTTAGATTACCAAAATATATTTCTCATTTATATATATATATATATATATATATATATATATATAGTGGTCTTCATTCAGTTCTTGGCTCACAGCTCCCCAAAACCTTAGAATTAATTGCCTAAGATCAGAGAGAGATAAAAGTTCTCTTGTTATATTAATGAAGGTAACTTTTGGAAGACACCTGAGGATGAGGGCTGGTTGCAAGGGAAACTAACATGTTTAGAGAGTGGGATTTTCAGTCCCTCCCCCTGATTTTCTGAGAGAAGGGCTAGAGATTAAGTTCAATGAGCAATGATTTAACCAATCATGTCTGTGTAATGGAACCTGCATAAATGCCCAAAAGGAAGAGCTTCAAAGAGTTTCTGGGTTGGTGCAAACATGAAGATTTCGGAAGAGTAGCATGCTTGGAGAGGGTATGAAAGCTCTACACCCTTTCCCTATGCATTCCTTTCATGTGACTGTTCTTCAATAATAATATCCTTTGTAGTAAATCTGTGATCTAGTGAGTAAATAGGTTTCCTCACTTCTGTGACACGCTCTAGTAAATTAGACAAACCTGAAGAGGGGATCCTGGAAATTTCCAATGTGTAACCAGCTGATCAGAAGTATAGGTAGTGATCTGGGTTTGCAACTGTGTGTGAAGTGAAGAATGGTCTTAGGACACTGACTCCTTAAAATGTGAAATATATCATTATCTCCTGGTATCAAAATTGAGTTGAATTCTCAGACCTCCTGCAGGCATCTGAGAATTGCTTGTTGGTGTGGGGAAGCCGCCACACATATACACACTGGACTTAAGTCTGGGAATCCTACATGGTCACATTCTGAGGTATCACAGGTTAGAACTTCAACATACAAGTTTTGGGAGGAGACATGATTCAATCCATACCACACATTACTAGTATAAAATTATCTTCTGCCTTTATGTGTTTCAAATGTCCTTACTTTCTTGAGAGGCTTTTTTTTTTTTAAACTGGGTTTACAATTCTAGATAGTGTCTATTTTCTTTTAATTCTCTTAAGATATTATTTCCCACTTGGCTCCCACTTTTGTTGTGGCAACACCAATTCTTGGTTTATATGGTTCCTGTGAGGATTACGTGAGTTAGTATATGCAACACACTTAGAACAGTGCTTGGCACAAACTATTATATAAAGGACAACTATTATTATTTACTCTCTATTATTACTTTAAGAATTTCTCTGTCTTTATTATCCTTCCATTTCACTATCAGGGACCTTGGTCTGAGCTCCTTTTAATTTATCAAGCTGAGCATTTCATGTCACTTGTCAATTTAAAATTCTCAGGCATTATCACTTCATATATTGCCTCTCCCTCATTCTCCCTTTTAACTTATGGAACTCTGCTTAGATATTCTTCTTTCTCTATTTTTCCTGTCTTTTATCCTCTGCATCTTTGTCAGTGTTAGAGTTAATGTAACTTTTACAAATCTATATCCTTTTATTCTCTTTTATCTGTGTCTTATCTGCAATTCAATGTATCCATTAAGTTTCTATTTCATTTATCATATTTTTTTCATTTTCAGTTTACTTTGTTCTTTTTCACATCTTCCCAGATTCTTTTTATATTCACTTATTTCTTATACATTCATTACCCTGTTTTATTTCTTTAGATCTATTAAATATATTTATTCTGTGATTTGTATTTGATACTTCTAGTCCCTCAAATTTGTAAGTGATTCTATAGTTTGATTAAAAGATTGTGCAACTAGGAAGAGGTCAAAGGATATTTCAACTCTGATCCAGTAACTCCAGACCCCATTCTCAATTACTGTGCCACATAAAACTTTTGGGGGAAGCTTCTGGTGATTTTGATGATTAGCCAGCTTTGAGAAAAGCGTCAGGAGGCCCATGCCACTCTCAAGCGAAGGCATTTGTTTGAAATGTGTGATCCATTTCCTCTCTAGTGTTTCTGGAAGGAAAATGGTTTAGGAACACAAAACTAACAGCTGGACCACGTATCGGCATCTCCCAGCGTTCGCGTAACGTGGAGCGCCCTGCACGAACCTCTTCATCTCACAGGTTGATTCAATCTGGGATCCCATGGAGAATCATTCTGTACACCTGGCACTTCTGGTCACGCCCTGTCTCGTGAAGCCGCCAATCCCAAGCCCCTTCGCTTTGATTGACATGACACCAGAGCAATTAGAATTGGCGATGGCGTACAACCGCTCCGCCTCCCCTATAACCCCGCCTCCCTTTCATTCTGAAAGAAAGAAGCCCTGCCCGAGCGCCCAATGAGAATGTCCTCCACCCCAAAGATCCCGCCTCTTTCGGCTCCGACCCCGCCCCTAGGGCCTGGGATGCCCGCCTCCCGGCGCGGCAAGAGCCAGTCGAAGGCCTCATGCGACTGGATGGACGGCAGCCGGCCCAATCCCTGCGCTTCGGGCGGTGCCGCCCCGCCCCTCCGCGGGCTCGAGCGGCGGCCGGGCGCGAGCGGGCCTGGGGCCTCGGGCGGCGGCAGCGGCTGTGACGGCGACGGCGGTGGCCTGAGGGAGCGGCCGGTGCCGCGCGGGGCTCGCCTCGCCTCGCCGCGGCGGGGTCCATGGCGCGCGGGCGGCGGCGGGGCGCGGCCGCGGCCTGAGCGGCCATGTCCGGGGTGGTGCGGACCCTGAGCCGCTGCCTGCTGCCGGCCGAGGCCGGCGGGGCCCGCGAGCGCAGGGCGGGCGGCAGCGGGGCCCGCGACGCGGAGCGCGAGGCGCGGCGGCGCAGCCGGGACATCGACGCGGGGCTGGCCCGCGAGCGGCGCGCCGTGCGGCGCCTGGTCAAGATCCTGCTGCTGGGCGCGGGCGAGAGCGGCAAGTCCACCTTCCTCAAGCAGATGCGCATCATCCACGGCCGTGAGTTCGACCAGAAGGCGTTGCTCGAGTTCCGCGACACCATCTTCGACAACATCCTGAAGGTGCGCGGGCCGGGGGGGAGCGGGGGGGTCGGAAGGGGCGTGCCCGCACACCTGTGCGCAGGTGTTGCCCAGGTGGCCGCAGGCCGCGCGCAGGTGCGCCCCCGGCCGGCCCCCGCCCACGCCTTTGTCCGCGCGAGTCTGCGGGCCTGGCCGTGTCCCCCCGGCGTCTGCTACCTGGGCAGGTGGCCCCTGCTTTGGGGGAGCTGGCCGGGGATGCATCCCTCGGCGTGGTGGCCTTCGCTTCTGTCCTGGTCGGGAACTTGTTGGGGGCGGGGGGAGGGGAGGCGAAAGCAGAAAAGCAGGCCGACTTCTGGGATTGTGAGAGGAGGAGGGGTCCGAGCACTAGGAAGGCCCCTCCTGGACGCGGGGTCTAGGACGCGCCCCTGCAGGATGGCATCTGCGAGTTCCTCACTGCCACTCTTCTGGAGCCGTTGAGCCATATTTGCTCGGCCCTACCAGTGAGTTCAGAAGAACCGTGTAAACTGGAGAGGAAACCGGCCGCAAGCCTCACTTTTGGAAACTTTTTATTAGGAAAATCTCACACAAAAGTAGAGGCGAGTAGAACCAACTGCAGGTATCCACGCTTCCCGGGCCTGAATGATCAATTCAGTCCTGGTCGTGTTTCATGTATACCCCTGCCCGCGATTTTGAGCAAATCCCATTGTTTACTTTCATTAGAGACACCTTTAATATATCGCTAAAACAGAAGGCCTCGTTTAAAAAACATAACCACAGTACCCTTGTCAAACCTCAAAATAATATCACTGGATCTCCTGCCGGTAATCAGATTTACTCCATTGTCTTATAATTGTTTCCATCGGGATATAAATTAAATCCGTGTATTGCAATTTTTAATATATCTTTTGCTATCTTCAGCATCTCTCTGTTTTCTTTTTTTAGAAAAAAAGATTTATTTATTATTTATGCACACAAGAGCTGGAGTGCAGGCCAGAGATGCAGGGGGGTGAGAGGATTCACCAGAAACAGAGTGGGGAACAGAACAAGCAGGCTGACCGAAATACACTGCTGAGGGGAGCAGAGGGCAAGTCAGGAGCGGTCTGCTGCACCATGTGGGTAGCTTCCTAGTCCGGTATCGAACTTGTGCTGCAGTGGCTGTGGACAGCCTCATAGGTTGTGTCTTAACCCCTTGTGCCACCAGGGAGGCCCATGACTCTCTGTTTTCTGTCTTTGCAATTTCTTGTGGAAAATAACTCTCATAGTTGACAACATTTGGGTTCTAGTCTCTCTTCTCTTGAGACTAGAAAGGACCCAAAGAAAGGAAGTTTGGAGGAAAGAGATATTGAGGGTAAAGTGGACTGTCTCATATACCCTATGCAGGATCATTTCTTCCTTTTCTTTCCTTTTTTTTTTTTTTTTTTTTTTGTTTGTTTGTTTGTTTCTCACCTCTACTCTTTCCTTGCCCCAATTTTTGTAGGGGTAGAGGGCAATTATAGACATGAAGAAAGTTGTCTTAAAGCAGACAGAGAGAGAAACTTGTCATACCAGAAACCTGCCTGGAAACTCGATTTTATGGTGCCTGAGGGACTTTAAATATAGCAGAGGTCTGTAGAACCCATAGGGTACATTTCTTTCACTTTACCCATGAGGATGCTCTGACCTTGGAAGTGGCCTCTCATGGGGACTTGACTGTGGAACCCTGGACTCCAGACTTTCCAGGCCTGCCTTCTTCCAGGCTCGCCTTGAGAATCTCACTCCAGTATTCCCACTGTGTGTGTTAGGAAGATTTCATCTTCACACAAATAGCTCTTTTAGGATCATTTGTGAACACGTATAATTTGAAAAATAAAACATCTCTTTCCTTTTCACCGCTTTAAAAGCCTCACTGTAAGTCCACTCTAATCCAGTACTTCAATGAACTTCAAAGTCTAGGTGCCCAATGTGGTTCAGTGTTCAAAAATTCCCTTCGTCTTCTAGAGTAAAGTGCATTTGATTGTCTTTCAGGGCCTGTTCAAAATTCTCTGTCACAAAGACTGATTTTATTTTTGCTGCTTTTCTGGACCTCTAAACCAGGCAGATATAAAAGTATATAAAAATGTGTCTCTCTCCCCATTTCTTTCAACTGGGGAAACAGAGAAAATATTTAGAAACGTAGAATCTTAAATCTACATCTGTATTGCAAGCATTTTAGAAAACGCAGACTTAACCTTTTTCCAATGCATATGAACATTAACTTTTACTAACTTCCTTATCCAGAGAAACAAGATTTGTTAACCAGCTTTCTGTGTTCCTTCCAAACTTTTTTACTGGTTGCACTTCCATATTAAATTCACTTTACTGTGACCATCTCAATTACTAGTTAGAAATTCAGCTTTCAATTTAAAACCAAAAATCCCCCCACCTTATTTTTATTTAGACAGACCATTTTGGGAAGAGACTTTTTTAAATTGCTTTGTTGTGGCTTTTGTAGTAGGTATTTGAATTATACAATTCAGAATATATATGTCTACATGTAGCTTCTTAACAGCCTATTTTTAACATGTGCCATGCCCATAGCCTGATTTTCTTTCATATATGTATTTAACTTTTATAGTGCATCAGATGCTATTTAGCCAGTGAGGACATTGAAGAGAAAGTTTAAAATCTGTTCCAGGTCAGCTACCTGACAGCTTCTGGCAGAGCTGGGAACCAAATCTGGTGGGGGGCATTTTTTCCTGGTTTCTTTTTTTTTTAATTTAAACTTTAATTTTGAGACAGTCACATTTTGTGAGAATACAGAGTCTATATATATTTTATCCATGAGAAAACTTTACCAAATTTTTCCCTCTATGAAAATATCTTGCAAAACTGCAGTTCAATATCACAACCATCAATATTGATGTTGAGAAAGTCAAGATAGAGAACATTTCTGTCATCATCAGGATCCTTCATGTTGCCCTTTTGTAACCATTCCATCCCATAGCTCCCCCCTGACTCTGGCAATGACTGTTCTCCAATGCTATAATTTGTTATGTCAAGAATACTCTATAATGAAATCATGCAAAATGGCTTTTATTAGCAGAATTCCTTGGAGATCTACCCAAATTGTTTTGTGTATCAATAGTTTGTGCCATTTGATTGCTGGATAGCCATGGTATAGATTTACTACATTGCACCATTTAACTATACACCTGTAGGAGGACATCTGAGTTTCCAGTTCTACTATGAATAAATCTATGAATATGTATTTGTATGTACATAAATTTTCATGTCTCTGGGATAAATGCCTAAGGGTGCAATTGCTCAGTTGTATATTAGTTACATGTTTAGTTTTATAAGAACTTGTCACACGTTTCCAAAGTAACTGCACCATTTTGCATACCTACCAGCATTGTCCAAGTGATTCAGTTTTTCTGTGTCCTCACCACCTTTTGGTATTTTCACTATTTTTTTATCTCAGTCATTCTGATAGGCATGTACTGATATCTCATTCTGTTTTAATTAGCCTTTCCCTACTGGCTAATGGTATTGAACATCCTTTAATGTCCTCATTTGCCATCTCTATATTCTCTTTGGTGTAGTGTCTCTTTATATTTTCAACCTATTTTCTCCTTAAGTTGTTTGTTTTTTGTTGAGTTTTGAGAGTTCTTTATTTTTATAGATAATCAATCCTTTGTCAAATCAATGGTTTGCAAATATAGTCTATATTTTTGCTTTTCATTCTCTTAATGTCTTTCACAGAGCAGTAGTTTTTAATTTTATTAAGGCCTAATTTACCAGTTTTTCCCTTTGTACATCATGCTCTTGGCACTAAGTCTAAGAAGTCTTTGCCAAGTCCTAAATCCCAAGATTTTCTCCAATTTTTTTCTAATAGTTTTACATTTTACATTTACGTGGACATCCAATTTGTTCCATTACCATCTGGTGATAAGACTCTTCCTCTGAGTTTCATTTGCAGCTTTGTCAGAATCAGTTGAGCATGTTTGTGTGGGTTCATAATCTTGGGATTATTATATCTTCTTGGTGGATTGGTCCTTTTGCAATCCAATTGGTCCTTGGTGGATTGGTCCCTCTTTGTCTCTAATGATTTTCTTGGCTCTAAAGTCTATGTTATCAGATATGTTTTATGAATGTTTTCATGAAATATCTTTTTCTGTACTTTAAATCTATCATTCCGTTATTGTTGAAGTGAGTTTCTTATAGACAGCATATTATTACATCTTACTTTCTTAACTCTGTCAATCTTTGTTAATTTGTATGTGTAGCCCATTTACATTTAAGATAAAGTAATTATTATTATGTCAGGGCATAAGTCTCCCATTTTTCTCCTTCTGTTCCTTACCTTCCTTTGATGATTGATTTTTTTGAATATGTCAAAGCTTTGTATCATCTTGGTGGTTGCTCTAGTTTTACAATATACCTATATAATTTATCCCAGTCAGCTGTTCTCTGTGTTTTACAACTTTAAGTGAAGTGAAAAATGCTTCCATGTAGATTCCTTTACCCACCCATTTTTATTTTTATTTTTACTGATCCATAGATTATTTTATTTTATTTTTTTTTAAATAAATTTTATTGTTATATTCCCCATACAATTGCAGCCCCCCCATTCTGACCCCAATCCCTCCCCTCCCACCCCCGCCCCCTAAAAGTGTCTCTGGTTCATAGTTTTTTGTTGATTTTGATTTTCACTTTCTTATAGTTATTCATTTTCCTGGTCCCTTATTTAAGTTTTCTAGATTCCTGCTATGAGTGAGACCATCCGGTATTTTTCTTTTTCTTTTTGGCTTATTTCGCTGAGCATGATCCCTTCCAGCGCCATCCATGTTGCTGCAAATTGCATGTGTTTATCTTTTTTGAATGCTGAGTAATATTCCATGGTATATATGTACCACATCTTCTTGATCCAGTCATCTATTTTTGGGCATTTGGGTTGTTTCCAAAGCTTAGCTATTGTAAACAGTGCTGCTATAAACATAGGGGTGCAGGTGCTCTTTGGAATTGATGTTTCTGTGTCCTTTGGGTAAATACCTAGGAGTGGAATTGCTGGATCATATGGAAGC